AATCACCGATTCGGAGAAGTAGTAGTGCAATTTTATTTTATTTTATTTATTTATTTTTTTTCTTTTTGGCATACAAACATTCGAGTAAAGTAGAAATATCTTTGTTCTATCTGAAATCATGCAACACGCGTCTCATCATCATGATCATCTCGCATCCTCACCACGAGCGGATTCTCCTTGCTCAGAAGTTTGCACAACGAATGTCACCGAATCTGCAAATATCTCTGAACATGCAGCTGAGGGTAGCCGATTACGATGAATCTTACGTTCTCTCTTCGCATCGATTATGTTTCGTATATTAATCTCAGGGAGTTCGATCAATCATGCGGATGCAACAACAACGATTCCTGTAAACAGAAGAATTGTAATGTAAAAGCTCTATGTTTCTCGTATCTCAAGAAATGATAGATAATCGTCAAGCAATATCCGATAATCTTGATAATAGTTCTTGATCGATTGAATTAACGTTTCTTTTGATCTCTCATTTTGATCTCTTATTTGTACATGCATGGAATTTGTACAAGAGAACTTCGATAATTTCTTATTGGTACGCGATGGAATTCGATGGATCGAATATTAGACAAATTTTCCTTTTTCGAATTGTTACTTTAAAAATTGATTAAAATGAATTTAATATTATTTTAAGCATAGATAAGTTCCTCTCTAAATTTAGAAATACTATAAATGTATTATTATATATTTTTTAAAAACAATATATATCAGTAGAAAATCACTTTCATTTATGTTAGTATTTTATTTCAATATATTATATTTGTGAATACATATACACGGTTTATGATTTAAAATTAAAAAAAAAAACAATTTTAAACATTTTTCACATCTTGTTCATATGATTTTTATTTTCTTAATTATAAATTCATATTTTACAATACAACTGCATTGTACTTTATAATCGGAACAATTACTTTTTAAAAAAATCTCTCCCTTTTTTAGTTTTAGTTTCCCATAGTTTTGAAAATCTATTTCCTATAGTTTTAGTATATTCCTGCTTGATATTGTTACACATCCTTTCTGAAAAAAAGAATCCAGTGTAGATTAAAACCAGTGATTGTCCAATATTTACCGAATTCCATTACGAACTAGAACGGCCTTCAAAAAGAATGAAGATTGGAATTTTTTTATTTATCGATGTTCCCTTGTGCCAGAGAGTACGATTAAAATCCTAATTTCGCGTTTACAAGCGTGACGTTTTACGTCTCGATTTTTGTACATAGTTTGTACCTGTATATAGCCTCTATATGTCGTTTCGATGTTTGATCCAGCGGATTTCATTACCCAATACGAAGAGATTGAAATCACCACGAGATGAGGCCCTGTCACTTGCCATGTGTACAGATGTACTGCTTAATTGACAGGTTTTGTAAAGTATTGTAAATTGTGCCGAGTACATAGATACTTACATATATATATATATACTATATACATATAAATGTTAACACGAAAGTTTATCGATTATTACATGTGTAAGTAAGTAAACGTGCTAATGTAATGGATTCTATTATGTACGATTATTATATCGTTCCGATATATTACACAAATCAGCACAAAACAGGTAACACCTATCTAATTAATCCGATCTGAAATTTTGATATTTATAAAATTTCTGAATCTGAAATTAAAACATCGACAGATTTGAATCTAAAAAATAGATAATTATAAAATTCTTAATTCATGGTGTTTGGATACTTTCAGACTACCAACAACATTACAATCGTTATTTATCATAAAACTTATTTCGAACGAAACAATAAGAAACTGACCAAATTGCAAAAAATTATTATCAAGAAGAGAGAAAATCTAAAAGTATCCAAGCTAAAATCGAGTACACTTTATAACATCGTTCCTGTTTTGTGCAAATATTATTTGCACTTAATTCGATCCAAGCAATTCTTAAGCAATCGCGCTTACAGTGCCGATCTGTATTTTTACGAGCCCTGTGCATATATATATACATACATACATACACCCGCTTGTGATACGCTTAAGACTATCTCTCCCCAGTGAGCATCAATGGTGGGCCCCCCCCTCCCCGGCTGGCATAGCGCAAAGTAACGTAAGTGTCCCCCGGTCGATCTCACCTGTCGTGGACACCTGTGTGTAACGATAAAAATTGTACCACCGTTGTATATCTGGGAAGTGATATTTCTCTGTTACGTATAGTGTTGCACGCGAAACCAGTACCCGTCAACGGCGGCGAGCAAAACGAGCAGCGGTATTATTGCGGCGGTGCATTGTACGAAGATATAATAAAGCACGAACTGCTGGAACATCATGATTCGTCGCACGTCACCTCCAACGTGATTTCTCTTCTCTCTGTCCGTCGTAGATAACAATATAGCCGGCGACCGGACACCGATCTCTCGGTTTTAAGCACGTACACGTACCTTAAATTACGACTACTCGTGTTGTTTCACCCTTTGCACCGACTTATATGTCCATTATGATTATTAAACGTTTACGGCAGTCTCCCTTCCGTTAATCGATCGAGTCTTTTGATTGATTTTATTTGCATACAGTATATAACGATGAGCGTATAAAGAAAAATCGTGAGGTTTATTGTTTCTGATTTTTTTTCGAGATCGTTCGATACGAAGGCATCGTTAAGAAAGAAGAATTATGTGGCCTGATTTAAACTAAAGCTAACTCGTTGCTTTCGTTGTAGAATTTTAAGGATGCTCTATTTACGTTTTCGTTTTCTTCGATCGGATCGGTATTTTACGAAATCTGTGCCGTAAACTCGTCGAGAATTCATTGTCCTGTATACCACGACGATCCTTTGTAAACTGCCAATCCCATACAAGTTATTGCAGTATGCGTGGACCAATTAGGTAACATTTATCTGTGTCTTTAAACCCATTTCTCTGGCCATTATATTATATGTATACACCTTGAACCTTGGAATTGTGAGTGAACAGTACCAATCGGAAGGACGTACCGCAAAATGAACAGTGAACGATATTGCGAAACGTTGGATCTCAACTATGGAAATATTTCACGATTATTCATCGATCTTATTCAGACCTGGCCTGGAAATGAAAGAAATCCACCTTGATCGTCTCCCACACCAGTTGAACGAAACTTCAATTCTCACACTATATATGCACTCTCGAGAGATTCGCCATTTCCACGCCACTGATAGAATCCCTCGTGAAATCGAGATGCAATAAATTTCGTATCAATCACGATATCTTCACGCAGTTCGATGTTTCTTTGCTTGATGGTACAACGCGTCCTTTTTTTTTCTTTTCTTTTCTTTTCTTTGCATAACTCTCCCATAATATGTTACAATGAGACACGGGGCACAGAACCCTGCCGTTTTAATCCTCTAACAAGGAACCCCCTCTCTGGTCCGACACTCGATGGTAGAGCGCAGTTCCAATGGAAATCGAGCAGAGAATTCAGCAGCGTCAGCAGCAGTCAGTCCACCAGACGAGTTGTCGATAGTGCAGTACCTGCTATGTCACTGTGTAGAAGTTGTTGTATCCCCTTTTTACTCCTCGATTCCCATTATTTACCTATCATTCGTCAAACCATTCTTTCCCGATCCACTTTTTAGCTCTCTTTAAAGTAGAACGTAGCTTCCAATGCACGCCGGCAGCCATTCGACCATCAATATTATTATACCATACGAGAACGTTGTTGAGAGATCGGGTGAGGCAATTCTCGCGGTGACTTTTCTGGAACAGTGCGGCTTGAAACTCATGGAGAATCCTTCCCTTCCTCTATGGCTCCTCCTAAGACCAGTTTCATACGTCTTAACCGTTCATGTGAGATACAAAAAAAGAAAAAAGAAAAACGGTCCATAGTCGAAGATATCGACCATAAAGGGCTCGTAAAGGAAGGTAGATTTTTCTATGAAACTGGTCTTTAGAATGCCTTCATTGTCTGTCTATTTTTATGCTTCACCGTCTCACATATACATACATACACCCCTTTAATGTTTCTTTTTTCTTCTATAGAAGTATATATATATATATGTGGATGGTAGACATTTTCATGTTTCTTTTTTCATTTTTTCTTTTTT